TGCAACATTGAAAAATGTATGGGAAAAATACTGAATGATGCAGGAAGCATCCAAAGAAGATGGGAAGGACACACATAGTCACTGCATCAAAAAGAACTAGTCGGCATCCCATGATTTCAGGAAGCAAGAACCAAGGACGCTGAAGGAGAAGTTCAAACTGCACTGAAAGCATGAGCTAAACGCAAGGCTCCAGGAACTGACAAATACCGATTGAGAGATTTCAGCAAGCTTGATGACGCGCTGGAAGCACTCGTTCATCTATGCCAGGACATCTGGGAGACAGCTACTTGTCCAACTGATTAGAAGAGATCCACATTTGTACCCATGCCAAAGAAAGGGGACCCCACAGAATGCTCGAATTACAGAACAATTTCATTAATGTCACATGCAAGGAATATTTTGCTGGAGATTATCCAACAACCCTTGCAGTCGTACATTGACGGGGAGCTGCCAGAGGTTCGGGCCAGATTCAGAAGAGGATGTGAAACGAGATATCATTGCTGATGTCAAGTGGATTTTGGCTGAAAGCAGAGAACACCGGAAAGATATTTACTAGTGTTTCATTGGCTATGCAAAGGCATTCGACTGTGTGGATCATAACAAAGGATGGATACAACTGTGTGGATTATAACAAAGGATGGATAGCCTTGAGAAGAATGGGTATTCCGGAACACTTCATTGTGCTCATGCAGAACGTGTACATGGATCAAGAGGCAATTTTGCAGCCGCAAAGACACCGGCCGACCGCAGGAGTGTGAGGGAATCCGTGAATTCTGTGTCAAGGCAACGCTGAACCTCCGGAGAAGACACAATGAGCAAAGCTCATCCGCCTGAATTGAAAAAATTTACGGACAAGAAGTAATCATTGAAATTAAATGGTGGCGGGCATGTGCAAGGGATACTTCTGGAATTTGATCCCTTTATGACTCTTGTGATAGATGTATGTGTGGAGACGGCAACTAGTGGACAACAGAGCAATACTGGAATGGTGGCGAAAAGAGGCAGTAGTATCTTCATGTTAGAAGGCTTGGAGCGAGGATAAGTAATAGCCGTGTTCAACTGTCTACAGCAGTTGCTTCTACGCACCCCGCTCTCCAAAGGACCTGTTTTACTACAGAGTAAAAATGAGGCGATGTGCGTTTTTCATGTTCCATTTTTTTGTTAAGTAAACTTTTGTAATAGTTAAAAAAAAAAAAGAGGCAATTGTGCGACTAGAACCAGGTAATACCGCATGGTTTAAAATCATGGTTTAAACTGTCCCAGTTGTATTCTCCCACCTTACGTACTCAATCTGTGTGTGAGCTAATCATCAGGTGAGCTGGGATAGATGAGGAAGAATGTGACGTCAGGAGTGGACTAACAACCTGAGATGTGCAGATGCCACAACCGTGCTTGCTGAAAGTGAGGAGGACGTGAAGCACTTGCTGATGCGATCAAGGACTGCAGCCTTCCGTGTGGATTGCGCCTCAATGCAAAGAAGACCAAAATCCTCACGACTGGACCAATAGATAACATGAGAAGTAGAGAAAAATGAAGTTGAAAAGGAAGTTGTCTTTTCTTGGATCCATAATCCATGCTCCTGGAAGCAGCAGTCAAGTGATTAAATGATGCATCGTATTGCACAAGTCTGCTAAACAAGACTGACTCCTTTTTGAAAAGCAAGGAGGTTGCTTTGAGGACTGAAATACACCTGACCCGATCCATGGCGCTTTCTCTTGCCTCAGATGCATGTAAAAGTTGGGCATGGAATCAGAAAGACCGTAGGAGCATCGATGGAGTTGAATTGTGGTACTGGCCTATTGAATAGTGAAAGTACATGCCATCAAGAAAGACCAATTCCTGGAGAAGGACAGCATGCTTGGTGAGGTAGAGGAGCCGTGGAAATAGGAAGCTCCTCGGTGAGATGAATTGGCACGGTGTCTGCCATCATGGGCTCCCCCGGCTTGGGACCAGGGTTGGGGTTGTTGCCTTCGGGGCGTGGTTTCTTTCGGTTTTGCCCGGGTTGGTTTGGGTTGGAACCACCTCAGTGGCACCTAACAACAGCAGCCGCAGCAGCAATTGGGTAGCATTGTGGGTTACTCATTGGGCTGCTGACTGCAAGGTTCACGGTTTGAACCCACCAGCTGTTCTGCTGGAGAAAGATGAGGCTTACCCTCCTGTCCAGATGGAGCACCTTAGAAACCCACAGGGCCAGTTCCTGCAGGCCATCACAGTTGCCTTGAGGGCAGTGACTTTGGTTTTGGGGTTTGTCACAATTCTTTCAGGAGCCCTGGTGGAGCTGGGGGCTGGGCATTGATCTGCCAGTCACAAGGCTGGTGATGTCAACCCCCCAGCTGCTCTGAGGGAGAAAGAGTAGAAGCCCTGAAACGTCGTCGAGTCAGAATGGGTTCCTTGGCAGTGGGCTTGGTTTTTGGCATCAAGAGATTTCAAAACGTGGATGTTTGGCTATGTGTGTGCTGGGTGTTCATGTCAAGAGCAAAAAGTCATATTTCAATAACCAAAATTTTAGTATTTCAGTAGCAAAAAATTTATCCCAGTAATATTTCATTAGCAAAAAGTTACAAACAATCTCACTGCCTATCAGTAAGATGATAGCTCAGCAAACGATGATACGCCTGTTTATATGGCCATTAAAATAATGGTTTTAAATAGCGGATTGTAAATTTGGCAACCAATTATAATACATTGATAAGCTGAAAAGACAGAATAAATTATCGAGAAAATATTATTTCAGTTTTTTAAATGCACAGAGAAAATATTGTGGCTTTTTTGTTTCCTAAATGTCTATATCAGTTTGTTTTGCTGTTACAATCAGAATAAAAATAAGCACCTTTTAACATTTTTAAATGACAAAAATAAGGTTTGCCAATTATTTAAAAATTACACTTTGACCAGTTAGATAAATGGTTGTTTGTTCTTTTTCTCTCCGCCTTCTTTCTTCTCACCTCCCTTTCTCACTCACGAAAAAGGGGTTTCATTCTCTCCATTAAATCTAATGAGACAATAGTTTTCTCTTCTTAACTCATTAAATATTAAAACCTAAAGGAAACAAGGTGAAACAACAGGACTTCAATAGTGATCCTTAGTTCTTTCTTTTTTTAAAAATTAAAGCTTTAACTGTTATACCATTATTTATCCTAGCAGTTCCACTCTAATTCTGTGTTGTAACTCGCTGACATATGTCTACGATCGGGCAACGGCTCTCAACCTGTGGGTCGTGATCCCTTTCTGGGTCGAATAACCCTTTCACAGGGATTTCCCGATTCATAACAGTAGCAAAATGACAGTTATGAAGTAGCAGCAAAAATAATTTTATGGTTGGGGGTCACCACCACATGAGGAAATGTATGAAAGGGTCGCAGCATGAGGAAGGTTGAGAACCACTGTGCTAGGGTATATTTCAGTAAAATGCATAGAGACATCCTGGTCATCCCACTTCTAGCTTTCCGTCTAATCTCAGTATGTATGCATGGTGGCTGGTCACTGTTAAAAGTTTCTTGTCCTACTTAACAAAAGGAACGCATGCTCATTGTAAGCCATTCAAACACAGACACATGCAAAGTGGAAACTGACAGAGGCTCACACGTTAAGTCTCCCAGCTTTCCAAGACAGCCACGGTGGCCTTGTCCTCGATGCGCTTTTAGAAGTCACGTGTACTTGGTTTTTAAACGAACACAAGATCATCACACTCATAATCTCCTGTAAGTTCTCTTTTCACCTAATACTTTATCCAGGGCACTTTCAGGTGCGCACGTAGATCATCTTCATTTTCTGTGGCTGTAAAGTGGATTTTGGCTCTACTGTGATTTACCTAAACTAGTGGTTCTCAACCTTCCTGATGCTGTGACCCTTTAATACAGTAGTCCCTCATGTGGTGGTGACCCCCCCAACCATAACATTATTTTCGTTGCTACTTCATAACTGTCATTTTGCTACTGTTATGAATTGGGCGACCCCTGTGAAAGGGTCATTGGATCCCCAAAGGGGTCGTGACCCACAGGTTGAGAACCGCTGATTAAGCAGCTCTCCCATTGACTGACACTTGGGTTGTTTTCAGAACAGCTATAAAGCAGCATGGCAGAGAACACCCTTTTCTGTGTATGTTTTTGTGTACTTGAGTCTCACTGAGATAATGCTGCCACCACAGGACTTTTACATGGACCCAACGAGTAGGAGGAAAGTATTGTTTACTGTGTATTTCTCCAGTTCCTAGCAAGGTTGAGCATGCGTTCACCTGTTTTATTTTTGGCCATTTGTAATTCTGCTGAAGTTTACAGATTTTCCTACTGGCCTGTTCAGCGTGTTCACCCTGACGTCTGTCTTCTGGCTGACGCCTGTCTTCTAACCGTGCTGTGGTTTCTGGGCTCTAGGAGCCGAGTGAGAAGAAGGTGCCTCAGGACATGGCCTTGTTCCTCAAGCTCCAGAAGCGGGTCACAGAGTTGGAGCAGGAGAAGCAGGCGATGCAGGACGAGCTGGACCACAGGGAGGAGCAGGTGCTCCGCAGCAAGGCCAAGGTGCGCAGGCCGCCCAGCCCCCTGCAAACCTGTTGCTGAGCCCGGGGCTTGCCTACTTCTCCAGGCTCCTGTTACCGGGGACCCAGCTCCCAAGTAACTTAACCAAGCAGCGTGGGGGTCAGATGGGGAGGGAGGGCCAAACTCTCCTTGGTGTTTGCTAGAGAGCAAGTAATGTGATGATGAAAATGTAAAGTGTTTGCGTTCTGTTTCCCCTAGGAACAAGAAAGACCACAAATTAGAGGTGCTGAATTGGAGTATGAATCACTTAAGGTAATGAGAAATGTCTACCCAGGATGTTGACTATCTTGCTTTGGCAATTTGACCTGCCCAGAGCCTCAGTCTTCCTCAAAAAACAGCCGTCGGGCTGAAGGTTCCACCCAAAGGCCTTACGCCTGATTTGGGCATCACTTCTTTTATAAATTCTATTTGATACAAGTTACACTTGAGTCGCACAGCGCAGGCGCGCCAACTGCCGGCTGAGGCCGTGGAGATGAATAAAAGCCATAGGCTCTGGGGACAGAGATGGATGGAGTCGCCTCTCGTGGTTATGAGGGACCAGCAAGCCCAAACCCTGTAGGTCAAGGAACAGGCGGGGACCCCTGCAGTCTGGTGTCCCCCGAACCTCGGCAGTGTGCTGCATACACGGGGCCGGGTGGTGCCGTGCTTACGTGATGGTCGGCAGTCAGAACCCCCGAGCAGCTCTGCCACTGATGGAAGACTGAACTTTCTGCTCCTGTAAGCCTTAGGCTCAGAAACCCACAGGGGTTCACCGTGCGTCAGCACCGACTCGACAGCAGTGAGTTGGGGGTTTGAGCTTGGAGTGTTCCAAACACCATGGGTCCCAGGACAGAAAGGTTGTGTCACAAGGTTCTGGTAAACCACGTTTGTAGTCTGGAGGTGGAATATACCCCAAGGGAACCAACACCCTACCCCCGCCCCCCCATTGCAAACCAGGTGAAAGTTTGCAGAGCACACTCGTTTTACAATCGTCCGTTCACGCACATTTTATTGCCATGCATCCACGGCACCCCTCCTTTTACCGTCATGCACCCGACTTCCTCCCTCTATTTCCTGTTCCCATCGCTCCTTCTTTCCTAACCCTCCGGGTTTTGTCCTTGAGTAAATGCTGCCTCTTTCATCCTAAAGCGGTTGATTATTGTACCTCAGGGGTGATTTCATGCCCAGACCTGAAGGATGGCAAAGGGCTATAGTCTTGAAAGTCTCACCAGTCTCTATCCAACTTTGAGTTTTGTTCCATGTGTTTCCGCCCCACTCTAGATCCAGTTCAGAGCAGTTGATAGTGATAGCCGCACACCATCTAGTTCTTGGACCCTCGGGGTTGGGGAGGCCGATGGAGAACTCCCTGTTGGTTCTTAGACCTGCCACCAATGGGATACGGCCCACATCATCTTGGTGCAGCCTTTGCTCAAGACTCGCTGATGTGACCATGGGTGAGGACTCCCTCACTGTGTGTCCCACCAGTGTTTGATCACACAGCTGGCCCCAGAGCCTAGATAAGCTGACACATAAGGAGTTGCATCAAGTGTGTGGAAAAGTGAAATAAAAAGACCATGAAAAAAATTCCAGAAACTTTTGAAGTCTTCCCTTAAGATTAACCATCATATCAGCGTTTTACTGGTTTCTTCCACCTTTGCCAATTATACAAATATGCTGCAATGGCTGGAAAGTTACACTCAGGATCCTGATTACAACCAAACAAAGCTAAACATTAGAAAAGCCACAAGCTAGCCTATGGAAACTCAATGTTATTTTAAAGCCTTAGCATGTGTTTGAGAATTCCTGGGCACTGCCCGAACTGCCAAGACGTCTTTTGTGTATCTTTTCAGTAATACTGCAGTAAGTCTAGCCTCCTGGTATTGTGATTTAGAACATAATTCATGCCACGAATAGGACCCTGTCCTCTGGGATCACCACTTCCTGGGCTCAAGTGCTGATTCCTGCTTCCTCTCCAGGCTGCATGGCACGTTTGTGTAACGAGAGCACTTGCCCTCCACCCTAAGTCCAAGCCCACCGTTCTCTTAGATCAGCCCCTTCCTCTGAAGAGGTCAGACTCTTTTCCTGATACTTAGACATTTGACTAATAAGGCCGTGTATTTATTTTACAGTCCGAAGTCTGTTCAGTGTTTTGTCATATCTCTGAAATACACGTTCTCATTCTCTTTTAAAAGGTGAGTGGACTGAGACTGAGAACAATTACATTGGACAGAGGGGGATCTGGAATCCAGGTCTCCTGACTAAGGAAACGTTCCACGAGATCCTGGTTCCTATCATTACTTGTTTAGAGACTAAATCTTAAAATAAGCCCAACAGTCCAGCATCCTAGTGGGATTTCTCCTTTTCCCCGTGGGGCCCTCCCACTTTCAGACCTGCAGTGCACTGTATGATGCCTGTAGTCAGATCAGTCTTCAGCATAGGGTACAGCCTATCCTAATGATAATTCTTTAATCTATGCTTTTTAAAAAAAAAAGATTTGGTCATTCAAACCCCTGGTCCAAGCTCTTATTGAAATCAGCATTTATTATACCTTCAGCTAACCCTATTTTTTAAAATAGATGTGTGTGTGTTATGTATTAACGCCCACATAAACCAAGTAGATGATCCTATTTTTGGAAGACACACCCACTCAACCCAAATGAACATCCCACTGGCATGCCACACATCTAGGCTGCTGCTCTCCCTGGGATCCCAGCCATCCACAGAGATGAGAGCATTTTCTGAACAGTAGTTCACATGCTCAGAAGGCCTGCTTGTGATTTTGTTCACTAACTTAATTGGAACTGATAAGCATCGTTTTGGGCGCCACAGAGAACCCGGCCTGCCCACATTGAGAAACTGGCACATGAGTGGGTAGTGTGTGCAACATGCTTAGCAATAGCTGAACCTGCCCAAAGTCCAGAGTGGTCGAATTGGGACCTTCGGGCCCTGGGTCAAGGCTCTGCGAACATTCCTGGTGTCTAAGCAGGAATGAGTGCTAAAGGCACGATGTGTGCCCTGTCCGGTTGGGCTGACGGCCTTTACCCTTACCATATGAGAAGGCTTCAAAAAGTCATGGGGGAAATGCAAATGAAAGGTAATGGATTTTTTTCTGTGTACTTTTTGAAGCCCTCTCATATGGACAAATGCCTCTCCCATCTCCCCTCTGCCCCTCTCAGTCCTCCCGTGTGGCTTTGATGGGATAGGCCAAGGAGATGGCAATGGGAGCCTGTTCTCCAGCTCTTCCCCCTCTGCCTACCTCCCACAGAAATGGACAAATGGAGACATTCTCTGAAAGATGTCAAAAATGAAGCGCAAGGCACAGAGTTTCCAAGTACTAGACCAAGAGTTTCCAAGTACTAGACCAAAACAAAACAGAAAACCCAACCCAGGGCTATTGAGTCCGCGCTGACTCACAGTGACCTTATAAGAGTAGAACCATCCCTTTGGGTTTTAGGGACTGTAAATCTTTACAGGAGCCTTTTTTTCTCCCATGGAGGGCCTGGTGGGTTCAAACTGCTCACCTTGTGGTTAGTAGCCCAACATATAGCCCACTAGGCCACCAAGGTTCCTTAAATATTAGACCACTGGTTCTCAGAGCATGGTCCCCAGCCCAAAGCACCAGCACCGTCTGGTGACTTGCAAGTGCAAATGTGCAGACCTTGGCCCACATTTAGTGGGGCCGAGACCTGGGTGTGGAGCCCAGCAGTCTGTGCTTCCACAAGATCCCGGGGGTGCTGGCGTACCCTGAAGACTGGGAAGCACTGTGCCAGAGCCTCGGCATCATGTCAAGGCATTCGTGTGTTTTCCGTTATAGAAATGAGCGAGAGGAACCTGACTACCAGTCGGTGGGAGATGAGAGCGAGCAGGGAATTAAAGATAGCATAAGCCAAAAAAACCCAGAGTCACTGCGGAGACAGACCCTCCAGGACAGGGTAGAACTGTCCCTGTAGGTTTCTGAGACTGACTGTTTACGGGAGTAGAAAGCTTCATCCCCCACCCCACCCCCACCCCCCCACACAGATTGGCTGGTGGTTAGCAGTCTAACACATAACCACCACTACCCCAGGGCTCCTTATTCTCTCGTACAATGGATTCATTCATGAAAGAAGGACTTCTTATACTAGAGTAAATAAGGACTTGAAATAATTTTAATATAACATGATATACATTGTATAATATGGTGTGATACTACATCGTTTTAAGATAACATGTGACATAAAATAGATGATACTTAACATATGACAATCTAACAATCTAAAGCATATAATGCAATGTATGATACAGTGTGACAAACTCAAGATTGCATCTGTAGAAATAAACAGCAAAGTATTAGATTTCCTCTGTAGACGTGTCTCATTTCCACCATCACAGACCTTCTGTCTTGTGCCCGCTATGGCACCGTGGTGCTTTTAACGACCTGTCTACTTCGCTCTTTCTCAACCAGTCTCTTGGGACACTTTGGTTTTTGGGTCAGCCCCATTCTCTCCTGGCTCCCAGGCCTTTGAGCAGTGTGTGGCGCCCCATGGCATGAGGATGGCTTGTAGTGAGTGTGTGGAAGTATGCAAGGAATGAAGGACACCTGTGTCCGTCTGGATGTGTTAGGGAGATGTGGCCTCTCTTCCCCTTCCACCTCCCAAGGCTTCTTTCAGCAACTCTGAAAGCAGGACACACAGAGAAGGAACTTGTAAAATGAATCATTTGTTGTTAAAACACTTGAGAATTTCATCCATTCGAATGGAATGGCAATTTTTTAAAGTAGAAAACCAAACCTCAAATATCAGTGGTCTTTTCATTATGCTTTACAAAGTCAGTACTAGGATACTGCTTAAGATTTCAACAATCTGCCTCTTCTGAACCAGGTAAGGGAACTCTGTGGCCAGCTAGACCCCCCAGACTTGACCTTGGATGGACTTCCAAACCAAGTTGAGCTCCCCAGGACTGGCCTGGCCTCACCCTTCGGAACGTGCTCATCTCTCTGGCCTGTTAACACACCCAGGGCAGACCTGGAATCAATGTGATGCTGGCATGCGGGTTGGTGAAGCAACCCACCTTACTCCGTGCCACGTGACCTAAGACTTCCTTCACGCACAGGCAGGGCAGCTTTTTGAGCAGAACGCAGGAAGCCAGTCACTTGGGCAGTTCTGGTGGCCTTTGCCAACAGAATCCTTCTGTCAGCCTGAGGGAAAATTAGGAAATTCAGCATCCTAAAGTAACGCTGAGGATGCCGGCAACGAACTCCTCTTTGTCTCTTCACACAGCGCCAAGAACTCGAGTCAGAGAACAAAAAGCTGAAGAATGAGCTCAACGAGTTACGCCAGGCCCTGAGCGAGAAGGGCGCTCCCGAGGTGACCGCTCCGGGCGCCCCCGCTTACCGCGTCCTCATGGAGCAGCTGACCTCGGTCAGCGAGGAGCTGGATGTCCGAAAGGAAGAGGTCCTCATCCTGCGGTCACAGCTGGTGAGCCAGAAAGAGGCCATCCAGCCCAAGGTAAGCCTACTCATGTAAGGGAGCATCCTGGGAGCGCCTGTGGATTCCAAGCGCAGAGCCGTTATCTTTAGAAAAGAAGAATCTCTGTTGCTTTAAACTTTGACCAGGAGCAAAGCCACAGGGAAATCCCAGACGTTCTTCAAAAGTTCGCCTCTCGGGAGCAAAGGGCTTTGGAGAGGAACCTTTTTAAAAGTAGTCATACAACTGAGACAGACGTCAGTCTAAAGTAAAATACGATTAGACAAACTTCAGTCTGAAGTAAAATACGATTCAATGCGAGAATCCCCGCGATTGCTATCGCATGTGAAAAGTTAACTTGTGGTGGGAGGAATGAAATGCTGCTTTGAAGTGAGCTGAAATGTGACAGGTGGAAAGCCGCCTGCTCAGCTATGGAAGAGTTAGACGTGACGGCCAGTGGACGTTACCTGGAGAGGAACACTGTTCATCTTCAGCTTCAGGGGCTCTGTTTAATGGGGGGGCCGGCACTGTCCCAACAGGGAGGAGCTATGTTCAAGGGCGTAACAGAAAAGACTCAAGCAATGGGGGGCCCAGGTGGCCCTTTGAAGCCTTTCCCTGTCCTCAGGTAATCTAAGACCAAGCCCAGCCGCCTGCTGATGCGGAAGTGACCTTTGTCATTTCCCATCAGAGGCTGTATTGAGAGCGATCGCTGTGGAAACCTGGCCTGTGCCCCTACGCATGTGTACACAGGCACTGAAGCCGCCCAGCATCTCACCTGCATGGCCTGGCATGTTGAAACGCCCACAGAGTGGATGCGTTAGAAGGCTGAGCGTGCTCCTCGTAAGCAATGGCATTCCTGCACCTGGTTAAGAAGCTGGGCCTGGTGCACATGCTCAGACTTAGATAAAGGCAACTCAGACCTGCGATGGCCATGCCCCCAGGAAACATCACAGTGTACGCATGACGCTTAGAACGAGTCTCAGTCACAAGTAGAGCTATATAAAGAAATGGACGCTCTTGTAGATCATGGGCCTTTCACGTCTGCAGTGAGCAGCGTTCAGGGCTCTCCTTTTGGCACGTCCACAAAGCTCTCTCCTCCCCCCAGGACCACCTCAGCTGATTCCTGGGGCTCCCAATTGATATTCTTGCCTCTGGTTCCCTTCTGCACACTGATATTCTCACGAGGCATTGCCACAAAAGCTAAGGGAAAGGGGAAGAGAGATGAATCGAGGGACATAAAATCAGTGTCGCTCAGAGAGCACATAGCTCTGGCCACACACACTCTCAGTTACGCCACTCACATATCCCACGTGAAGACCGCTACTCTCTAGCCTCCAGTCCGAGTCCCTGGTCTCCCAGCTCCCAGCCTCCACATGGCAGAGGCCATTGTACTGCTGTATCCCCGTAACCTTGTTCTCTCCTAGGACAAATGCCCAGGACTGGTGCAGACCTCTCAGACACACCAGGCTGTGTACCCTTCCTCAGTTTCCAGTCAGTGAGTCTGCTCTGTGTCCCCCAGGACTCATATCCCAGGAGGCTCCCCTGGGATAAGTAGCTCCAAATGGGGCATTGCAGTAACGCACACAGGCCTGGGACAAGCATTTCGTCCATATACATCAACAGGAGGGGCATCCTCTCACGTGCGCAAAACTATTGTACAACCTTTTGAAAAATCTATCTCAAAATAACTCCAAAGCACTTGTTCCCAAGAAGTTAGACCTGCCGTCACATAAATATGTGTGATGAATGTCTACCTCGTATCAGTTCCACGAGTCTGGATTTATTTACTGAGCTAATTTTAGGAGAAACCGCTCATGGGGTTTTGGGGGCAGTTTTATCTGTGATGATGCGGGCTTGGTGGAAATGGTGGAACTAAGGGTTTACTGTTTTCTTTCCCTTGTTTTCTTGTGCTGGCTGGCTTGTGATTTTCAGGACGACAAGGTAACTATTAGCTTGTAAACATCGTTAAGTAAATTCATCTTTTTAAAAACCTTGCTAAATGTGAAATGTGTATAACCCAAAATGGCCATTTTAGCGATTTTTGAGTATGCCACCAGTGACGTTCCTTACGCCCACCACATTGTGTTGCCATCACCACTACCCATTTCCAAAAGTTGTGCATCCCCCCAGGCAGAGACTCGGGGACCCCCTCCGCAATCACTCCCACCCGCTCCCTTCTCCCCGCCAGCCACTGGCAATCAGAATTGCTGTTTGTCTCTGTGCCTCTGCCTCGTCTAGATGTTACTTGCAAGTGGGTTCATAGACTACTTGCCCTTTGGGGTCTGTGTTAGTTCACGCAGCATAATCATTTCAAGGTTCATCCGCATCATAGCCGGTCTCAGGACTTTGTTTCTCTTTGTGCGTGTGCCTCATTTGGTTCATCCATTCCGCTGTTCACGGGCACTTGGATGGTTTCCACCTTTGGGCTTTTGTGAACGATGCTGCGGTGAACATTGGTGGACACATATCTATTTGAATCCCTGCTTCAGGTCTCAGGTGTATGTGTAGGAGTGGAATGGCTGGGTTATATAATGTCATATAATGTAATCCCATGTTTAACTTTTTAAGGAACCGCCAAAATGCTTTCCATAATGACTGTACCATTTTGCGTCTCCACCAATACTGTACAAGGGTTCCAATTTCTCCACATTCTTATCATACTTGTTCTTTCCTGGGAATACCTATCCTAGTGGGTGGGAAGTGATAGCTCGTTGTAGTTTTGATTGGCATTTCGCTAATAGCTAGTAATTTTGAGCCTCTTTTTATGTGCTTAGTGGCTTTTGGCATATCTTTAAACATTTGTTTTTGTCCGTTTAACTCTTTGGCCCTTTTAAAAATTGTGTTGTTTGTCCTTTTGTTGTTGAGTAAATACTACTCTTTAATCGTAATTTTAGTTGATAGGGTCCTTGAATAGATGTGATTGATGTTTTCTGGCCTTAGAGTCTATTTGGGCCTTTGCAAATGAGTTGTATTTGACTCCTTCTAATTCGGGAAGTCAGTGGGGACATAATGGACGTCCGAGGCGCCAGTCTGGATTGTAGCGGGGTCCCCCTGCTTTCTAATGCACAGGCAGCGCTGTGACTCATTCTACCAGTCAAGGTGGGCTTCCCACAGACTGTGGAGAGGGACCCCTTAACTTGGAAGACACGTAAGAGCAGAGCTTTACTGGCGGCTGTGGGCTTGTTGGCCGAGGGGTGGAGGAGGGTCATGGCAGCCCGGCTGCCATGGCCATTTCCCTGAGTTAAGAGCCCCCTCAGGAATGCAGACCCGCTCCTGAGGAGGTTGCAAAGCCGAATTTCTGTACCACACCTGGGTTCGGCTGTGGAGCGGTAGACGGGCTAGGATTTTCCTAGTGGTACAACCCTTTACAGAACCTCTGGTCAGTCACCCCGAGGTGGGGGAGCTAAACTCTGACCGGGAAGCCGGGGCTTTCTAATGGTGGTGGTTGGAGTCTGATACCTCCCTGCTCACTTTCCACCTCCTCCGCTGCCACTTCTTTGGTGGGACAAGAAAAGGACTATTTCCTTTGGACAGCAGCGTCCTAAGAAGCCTACTTTTCTCTTGGACTCAGACTAAGTTACTCAGCTTATGGAAAGGTCAAACCTGGGCCATGCACTTCCTCAGTCATCCATGAACACAAGTGACTTTACTGAACATAGAAACTGGGTCTCTGAGAGTTATTACGTGCGGATCTTGAGAATCTGCGTGTGGCTCCTTCTGGAATAGAGTTTCTGCCTTTCAGGAAAAGAGAAAAAAATTAATCCTCTGTGAAATACATATTGATAAAAGATAATGAAAGAAATGCTGCGTCAAGATTTTACGAAGAAGATTTCTTAAATTCAATATAACATCAGCTCAACTAGTTGTTCTTGTTAGGTGTTATTTGGTCTTCACAGTGGTTGCAGTTATAAACTCACCCAGGACAGTGTTAGGAAGGAGCGCGGACACACGCACGCGCACACGCACGCACACGCAAGCACGCACACACATATTTCAGGATGTTTCTGTAAACAGTGAAATTCAGAAGTAAGCATGTTTCTTTTTAAAGCCTGATTGAGCATTAAAATCGTCTCTTGAGATTTGTGTCTAGGATGATGGCATGTGCAGTGTCTTCTGTCCAGTCCACGTCATCAGGAGACTTGCCCTTGGAGCAGGTGTTGGCTAAAGGATCAGCTATATGACATTTAAGCAAGTAGAGTGGGCCACGGGTTCCGAAGTCAGCTATTCTCATAAAAGTCTAACAGGCAGCGATTGTTCGGGTCCCTGCTTGCCTTGGGTAAGAGACAGAGTCGCTGAGTGGAAGTGAGGGTTTGAAATCAGGTTAGGCCAAAGGGATAAATACAAAGAAAGTACAGATAATAGTGGAAAGTTGTTTTATACACATTTGTGAGTACTTCTGACCAGTCACACGCGGATGTGCTGTGCAACACTGTACCAAGGGGGGAGTGAGTTGAATGGTAGCAGGTGGTAGTTATTTACAAGGACCGAAATGCTTTCCATTTAAATATCCCCTATGATGTGAAGAAAACATTTAAGTTTGATGAATCGTTTATCATCTGAATCCCCCCTTCTCTGTCCTGAGTTTTTCATGGAAAAGTGAATTCTGTGTCAGACTTCTAATGCTGTGTGGAGGGGTTTGTTTCATTCTCAGTGGTGGATAAGGAGCAGAAACAACCTCTTGGAACATGACATTCGATAGATGTTTGGTGTCCTTGCCTGGTTGTTTTTTCATGTTGTACCTGTTGTACAAAGCCAGGTCGTTCGTTCATCTATTTGTGTATTTAACATGCCGTGAGACACGTAGCGACTCAGGGATTTTACATACAGGGCAGCGGTCCTCTGGCATCTTAATCTCTTTGTGGAGAGGGAATCCCAGCGCTTCTTTCTCGCCTGAGCTCCAATCGCCCCCGTGGTTACACAGGGCTAAGGTCCGTGGGTGCGGCGGAGGTGTGGCGGGGCACACCACGCTGTCCAGGGCTGTGGAATCCGTGCTGACTCATGGCAGTCCTGTGTGTACAGAGTGGAACTGGGTTTTAGAGATTTCAAGGCTGCGACCTTTGGAAAGCAGGACACTACGCCTGTCCTTCAAGGTGCCTCTGGGGCACGGGGGGCGAGGGGATTTGAAATGACCCCTTTTCACTGAGGAGCCCAGTGTTTAGCCATCCCCTCCCCCTAGGGACTCTATGAACCTGTCTGTGGGGGAAAGAAGCGGGTGCTCTGAGTTGAATGTTAATGTGGAAATGTGCCATGTCCCCCTTCAGAACACAATGACGGATTCCACGATCCTCTTGGAAGATGTGCAGAAGATGAAAGATAAAGGGGAGATAGCACAAGCGTACATTGGTTTGAAAGAAACAAACAGGTAAGTCGGACGGACCGCCCTTTGTTCGTGTAGGCTTAGTCCTTGCTCTGCCCCTGGCGTCGTAAATCACAGCTCGGAGGCACCGCTTTATTGGGCATCACCTGGTCTTTCTCCAATGTCTTCCCAGTTAGAACCTAGCTCATCATGTCAGGTAGCATGCTCGATCACGAGAGGTAGCAGGGAACTATCCTTTGCGTCAGGGGAAGACGTGTTCGCAGGTTTGGGGACGTCGTGTTGGACATCGTGGGCTGTCACTTGACGTCGTCATTCAGTATGGTCATTTCTGACAGTCTGTACGGCCAGCTGCAGAGGGCCACTTTCCGCAATTGAACCATGTGAAGCGGGAGTCGGAGTTACGGGGTCACATCCTTTTTTGGCCACACGGCTCTAAAAGGGCACTTAGGCTTCCATAGTGGGACCCTGGTGTGGGAGCTCACGTTTCTGACAGGTTCTCTAAGGTTTCCTGAGAACATCTTACCTCTGGCTTTAACCCGTGTATTCTTTTACACGAATGAAGTTGCAGGAGGCATGTGGCTCTCACGGAGTCTTGGAGAGCCGGTGGCGAGCACAGGGTGGGTACTGTCACCAGATGAGTGACGCCTCCTCACACCTTTACCAGTAGCTCAGTTTATCCCGAGCATCCCCTAAAATTGGTTTTATCCAAAGAGAACAATAACCAAAGGATAGTGGGCTGAGCACGCCCCTGGGCTCTGGAATCACATAGCGCTGGCCTTCCAGCTGTGTAACTGGATGAAACTGCTTTTATATTAGACATGTGTGACATTACGCATACAAAGTAGGGGCCTTCAAAAAAGTTTGTGGGAAACAATTCCACTGTCTTTTCACTCCATACACCAACTGCCATCGTCTGAGAAGAAACCAGAGAAACAGCGAAGCCCCGAGGTGCTTATTGTGCTCAATCTAGCTCCTGTCCAAAAGATTTAAACCTTTGTTTTGACGTGGCTTACGGAGATTGCCATCGGACTAGAACAGTCGATGTTTGATTCTGTTCTGTGGCGGTCACGATTAATCTCCAAGACGATGCATGACATATCGGGAGGGCCCGCAAAGGTCATGGGAAAACAGAATGGGAAGGTCGTGGACGTTTCCCCAAAGTTTCATATAAGATTAGTCAGATGAAGGATTAAAATATTAACATCAGAACCTCCCTTCTCACCTTCCCAGTCCTTTCTTATTTTGTGGGAAAAAATAGTTCTAGAGCCTCGATGGCTTTGCTGTCATTGATCGTGGTGATACTGAGCGCTTTATCAAATTAAGCAGGAGCTGTGTTTGTGGTGTTGTCATGTAGTCACGTGATGAGTAAGTGTAGTCACGTGATGAGTAAAGCATCGTGTTCCCCCAGTAAACTGTTTGGTGCCTGTGTTGCTCTTGACCCTCATCATCTCACCACCCCCCTGTCTCCCTTTGTGGTTTGCATCGTTGCTCCCTTTGCATGGAAGATGGCCTGCGTTGGATTGCCAGGAGTTGAATGAGGACGGAGAGCTGTGGCTGGTTTATGAAGGGTTAAAGCAAGCCAACAGGTTATATTTGTCTCCTCCGAGACGGAACGTTCTCACTGTGTTGTTTTCTTACTAACAGTGGCCTCCTGACTTTAACGCCTATGTTTCTTAACACATTAATTGTCTTCCTGGGCAAATCCCTTGTAGTGACACAGAGATTCAGCCAAACATCTCCTTTAAGACGTCTAAGGATGCCATTAAAGCAGAAATAGATAGAAAGGTTGCCCACTCTGAGTGAAGGGACTTTCTAGAATTCTGCTCCAGCACAAGGTGTGTGGATTATCTTTCTCCAGGAGTTAGAAGGGAAATGACACGTTACGACTAAGACCCAGAGGACGGGGTGATTAATACCTATCATTTAGGTAGTGATTTATTTGGGGGATTATTCATCAATCTACATGCTATACTGACTGCAGCAATGTGGCTACATTGATATATAGTATTGTCAGATTGCCTGAAAGTAATGTTAAGGGCATGATTTAGCATTCCATATGATTTCTGTGAAATTCAGGTGTGTGATTCCTTCCACTGCTGTGGTTCAGAATATACCCACCCCTTACTGACTGACACTCTCATTATCCAACATACCGCATATGGTAACTTTGAATAGATTTTCAGGCGGTGACCCCAGCCCCATGTGAGTCTAGGCCGTCCTCAGTGGGCCACCCCAATGATACGCTAAAGGTTCTAGCAGTGACGCAGCCACAAGAGATGAAGAGACCATTCTCCCATTTGGCTGTATTGCCTCCGTCTCTCCATGTGGGACCTAGAGTCCCAGTGGGAGGATGTAAGGTCACAGGAGGTCAGCTGGGCAAGGACATGAAGGAACATGAACCTAGTGCTCACCTAGTGCAAGCTCGGGGAGATGGCAACACCTGACCACCATTGTCACCCCAGACTCTCCAGGTGTCATGACGGTGAAGAAGGTATGGTGGGGAAAGTGCATCTTGACATGTGCCTAGGGCACCAAATGGGCCGGGGTTGGGGGGTATTGCCAGGAAGACAAGCCACTCTACTCCCACCCCCATTCTTAAACACCTGTGCAACCATGTTCATAGGTGACCCAAACTCACTGCCATCGAGTCAATTCCAGCTCAGAGTAACCCTCTAGGCAGAATAGACCTGCCCCTATGGATTTCCAAGACTGTAGCTCTTGATGGGAGTGGAAAGCCTCCTCTTTCTCCCTTGGAGTGACTGATGGTTTCAAACTGTTGACCTTGTGATTAGCAGCCCAACAGGAAACCCCCCGAGTTCCTGTCCATAAGTGAGGAATGGGCGCATTTATTCAAAGGCAGCACAGAGAACCTGTTCCATGGGAAAGCGCATCCCGTTGAAAAGGCTACACCTTTCTCAACATTCATGTGCTCTAGTGACATTTCAGTCTTAAAACACTCAGAAAACACAACTTGACTTTTAACATTTTAAAAAACTATAAAGTACTCCCTTTGTTCCAGGGACGTCTGCTAATTCTGCTTCATTTCTTCAGTGTCACAAACCATTGTCACTAACCTGGGGGTGTCGGAAGTTCAAAGTCTGTGAAAGTGTGTTGTCTCCTGTGAACTGGCTTGCAATGGCATCCCTCAGGGTCCTCCGAGCAGTTGGCAATCAAAGGGATGAGAACATAAGAATCTCTTTTCCTTCTTCCTGCTGGCTAATACTAATGGTGATTTTGTTTTGTGTGGGGGAAGGGGGTTCATGTAGACTGAGGGTGCGTGCTAAACGGAGGCTATTGAGGCCGGGATGCTCACTGCCAATGGCTTCCTTGTGCTCACAGCTGCCTGGCTATCCGTGCTTGGAGAAGTCATAGCTGCTTTGTCGGTCCTGTGGACGGCTGTAGTCTAAAGCCACATCTGGCTAAGATCCTGTTACTGATATGGCAGCTTATGCTGCAAAGAGATGTATATGTGGGTATGCCTAAGTTTTAGGGCTGTTTAGATAAATAGACAGGTAAATCTGTCTATTTAAAACGCATGCCCCAGCCTCTCTGTGCTTCAGAGGTAGGAGTAGAAAGTAAAAACGGGACCCTATGTCCCTGAAATGAGCAGCTCTGAGATTCTTAAATCCATATTGCATTACTTAGAATAGTGAAGAGGTTGCCATCTGGCCCTCTGTCATAATTTTGTGCCCAAGAGGCTGTTTCTTAATTGAGCGTAGGCATCATTTCTGTAAAGTTTGCAAAAGGTTTATTGGGCGTTTGAGCACTTGACAGCAGAGACCGCAATTCAGAAAGACGCACACGAGAGCGCTGGCTTCCGTTTCCAGCCCTTGTTTACGTGTCTGGATGTTCATCGAGTCAGGAGATACCCAGGCGCTAAGGACAATCTGCTTTCCCTCCCCTGGCTAGTGAGCACCAAGCCTTGCGCCCCGCCAGGCAGGGGACTGGGCGTGCCATCTGCTCCCTACCCGTGTGGCTTCTCTGCAGGCTGCTGGAGTCCCAGCTCCAGTCCCAGAAGAGGAGCCACGAGAACGAGGCCGAGGCCCTCCGTGGGGAGATCCAGAGCCTGAAGGAGGAGAACAACAGACAGCAACAACTGCTGGCCCAGAACCTGCAGCTGCCCCCGGAGGCCCGCATCGAGGCCAGCCTGCAACACGAGATCACCCGGCTGACCAACGAAAACTTGGTGAGGAGGTGGCTCGGGTCCCACGCTCGGGCCCTGGGGTTGATTTTGCTTTTCTTCAAACACCTGTTTCCTTGCTGCGAAAGACTCACTGCTCCACACGGTTACCCCCTTGCTCTGAACAGAGCCAGGAAAGCCATCATGTGTTGGTGGGAGTTAGAGAGGCATGCGGATTATGCTGCTTCTCACGGGAGGCTCTTGAGCGCCTGGGTGTTCTCGCACACCTAACGTGGCGGAGCTGGAGGGTGGCCACCGGCCACGCACTGGGCTCTTACTGTCCGAGAGGACTCCGGTGATCTGCTTCAGCCACCTCTGCTGCAGACGGTCTGCCATTCTGGGAGGTGGTCTTGCTGTTGCCATGACAGACCCCAAGCAGCCTCCGAGAATATCCCACCATCTCTGGCAGCCCGAGGCGGGCGGCAGACAAATAGGAGTTGAGCTGAGTCCAGGAGCGTGGCCAGTGCTAGAACCCACCAGGGCTTTGGCTGTAGCTCCCAGGATGGGGGGGTCGTCAGGATTCAGGCATACCACATTTTGTATTCTCTATGACAGAACCTGAAGCTTAAATGAAGCCCAAGCTTTTGTTTTTTTACCCCTCTTTCTTCCACCTCACCCGCTCACATTTTTACAGAAAACATCTCCTCAGAGCTTTCTTCCTTAATCACGTAACGTTTATTACACATCGATAAAGTTGTACAAATCTAAACTTAGTTTGACCAGATGTATTCATGATATTAAAAAATCATTGGCTGTTATAATTCTGCATTTCTACATAGCTCTATCTATATTCCACAGTCAGTTTGGCTTTGGGAAAAGCTGCGTAGGACTGATGATGATTTACATCTATATTATTTTTTTATTTAATGATTTTAGTGGCCTATAGTAAAATAGTTTGAAATTTCCCTGCTGACTTAACAATCACAGTCATCGCTCCGTTACCCCTTTAGTTGATGGTTTACATGACAGATTGTTTTCTGGTGCCACTGGTCCAGCGATTTCTTGAACGAATTAGAAGCAGAATCTAAATATTCTTTTCATAGTCGTCTGCCCCTCTGAGGACAGCTTTCTATGTGAGGCTCTTGTGCAGACGGGGAGGGAGGCTTGGGGTGATGTTCGACTCTTTCCAAAGGCTGAAATCTCGTTGATTTATTGGGGCTGTCCTTCTGAATCAGAGAATAATTTTTAAATGTTTTATTACCCTCGAGTATATTGACGCTTAAACTAACAATGCTTTGATGACTAAGAATCGATTACTACACTGAATAATATAACAATGATTGATCAGCATATACATTCTGTGCTTATAAATGATGGTTTGAAAACACAGGGTAAAACCGTGAAACAAAGGGTGGCCTGTGGGCCCGGTCCCTAGCTCTATAGAGTGAGTTTGCCGGGTTGATTAACTATTGCTCCCTGGCAACTTAGTCCGCAGTATTAATTTGCTTGGCACTTAAACGAAAATGATACTACAAACATGCACCAGTCTCCACATTCCAAACTCTCGATTCTCGTTGATGGGTTTGCCTGCACCGAGGGAGAATGTTTCTGACTCACCCGCTTCTCCTGCCATCGCACTGACTGAAGCACAGGGAAGGTGGGCTCCCAGTCGATGAATAATTGAAGGGGTGGCTCTTTTCCTAACCCGCTGTGGTTTCTCAGTCCTAACTCTGTGTGTTTCCTGAGGAAGCACTAGAGCAGGATTGTAAAGTCGCAGTGGACCTGGGGGTCTGGTTCCCAGACTGCACCCCACCTAACCCGCCCCCACAGCGCCCCATCACAAGCACAAACACGACTGCTCTCCCCTGAGCAGGTTTCACAGGCCGCCCCGTGCTCCCGCTGAGCTGAGAAAGCCTCACCGGTTCGTGCCGCCTCCCCACCTTCAAGCAGGCGTGCAAACACTGCCAGGATCATCCCTTTTATTTGCCTTCCCCACCCGTGCTGCTGTTTCAGAAAAAAAAAAGAGAGAGAAAAGAAACAAAGCCAAAGCACAGCATCTCTGTGGTCATGACCCATGGGGGAGGCCCCGGGGAGGAAGCCGGAGGCCCATGAGCAATGGCGTCCTGGCTGTAGGGCTTGCCTTCCCCGCCTCCCCTTGATGGTCATGCAAAATACTGATAATACTTTCTAGATGAGCAGGCTGCACGGGCAGTGGGAGGTGATGAGCTGGCGCCTTCTGAGTACGTACAGTTTTATTATTTGTGTTTTAAGCTATTGTAAGTTGACGTTGCTGAGAAGTAGCATTTCCCTCCCAGAGAAAAGCAAACACCTGCTGTGCCTGTTTTTTCAGTATTTTGAGGAATTATATGCAGATGACCCTAAGAAGTATCAGGCCTATCGGATTTCACTTTACAAACGGATGATTGTATGTAACCCCCCCAGTGTTTCCGCTGTCCGTCTTGCTATTTCTAGGCTCGATAACTGGCTGCCTGCCCCTTCCCAGGGGTCTCTCCACAACCCCTCACAAAACCCGTTTCTCCCCACAGCTCTCTCTCAGCCAGCGGCGTCACCTCTGTCAGCGTCCTGCGTCCATTGTCTTGTCAGTCTGTCATTAACACCAGACTTACAGTGTGATGGAAGCCAAAGCCAAGAAGCCCCACCAAACCCTTGTTAGGGCCTTTTGGATGGCCTAGTCCCCAGTGCTACCTTGTCTGGTCTGGAGGATGGAGGAGTAGGTGTGAAATGTTTTGAAATGCCTTTGTTCTCCGTTCTCCCACTCAACTCCCTGCACGGAGTCGATTCCGCCTCACAGAGGCACTATAGGACAAGGTAGACCTGCCCCCATGAGTTTCTGAAACTGTAATTCTTTACAAGGGTACAAAGCCTCGTTTTGTCTCTCATGGCGCAGTTGGTGGTTTTGAACTGCTGACCTTGTGGTCTGCAGCCCAATGCAATCCTTATGCCCACTACGCCACCAGAGGTCTCCAGTTTCTCCATTAGCGGAATAACAACCACAACTGACTCTGGTTCATTTCCCTTCTAAGCATTTTCCTGAGTCTGCTGCTTGCTTTCTTCCAAATGAGTGGTCGCGCACCTGTTGCCAGTCATTTGGGAGAACCCCTAATGATTTAGAAAGCCAATTGGTAATCACAAAGTGTTTGGGGTTTGTATTTTTTTAACACACCCTTCCCCCTTTGCATGCCCCTCTTTTTTGCATATTAAACGTTTGAAATCACTTTTTTTCTATAACCAAAATTATATCCCCCAATATAATAATAGGTGTGTTTTGCCCCCTGCTACTGAGAACTTGGTTCTCAATTTGGTCCTCAGTCAGCCACTGTATTTTACCCTCCGCCCTGTGGTTCTATGTACACCGTACCCCAAAGTTCTGGACATTTCTTAAGTGACGGGGATAATTTTAGCTTCCCCAGAGGGTGGGCCGCATGGACCCGTGCCTGTCCTGACTGACACACATCGTATGTCAGCCAAAGTCCAGCTGTCCTTAAAATGTCCCACAAAACGTATTGTGCATCTGTCGAAATTTATTTTTGTCTGCTCCCTTTCTAGAAAACATTCCACGGGGTAACAATAAATTTCACAAGTGTTGTGTTTCTTTATTAATACAAAGCCTTCTTGAAAAGACTGCCGCGTGAGCTCTCTGTCCATCACGCTGTAAAGGATTTGACTGCGCTGTGCATTTTAACTGGCTTTTCTTGTAGCTGCATTTCCCACGCCTGCCAGGTGGTGGCTCCACCAAGAGCTTTTATGTAAAACTAACTGCTGTATTTGTGCTGGCTCTTCCCCAGTGTATTTTAGAAAGCCTATTTTGATCTCTTTATTTCATTTTTCATTTTGATTCTTTAGGATTTAATGGAACAACTTGAAAAACAGGATAAGACTGTCCGGAAACTGAAAAAACAACTGAAAGTATTTGCCAAGAAAATTGGTGAATTGGAAGGTATTTAAACATATTTTTTACTGTTGATGAATCTTGGCTTTGCATGGCTACATGAGTCACCCGATTTGCTTGAGAATATGAGGAATGATAGCCTAAAAATAACTAGGTGGAGGAAATGCTTTTTTATATAGTCATAATACTTTATACAGGGAGGAAATTAATTTCTTTGATTCAATAAATATTTATGGAACATTTTCTGTGTGCCAGGGACTGACTGTACAAAGCAGTACAAGATAGCATAGAAGTTATGGGAGTGGATGATAGAGCTGGATGACTTGGGTTCAAATCCTGGGTCTTCCATTTATTACCAATTGCCTCCAAGTCTGCTCCATCCCTTGGCGACCTCCCCCATGTGTGACATAGAAACCAAGTGTAAAGCTTTAACTTGTGAGATTCCTCAGTTTAGCAAACCTCCTGTGTTCCTTTTTGTACGCTCTGATCAGTAGAAAAGCCATTTGTTATTTTACATTTTTAACCGTTTTATTGGCATATAATTCACAGACAATTTATTCATTCAGTCACAGTTTTACATCTTTTGCCAGCTTCCTTTGATATGCAATATTTTTATTAAAAAGAAGGGGTAATATATTTCAAGATCTTAGGAATATCAAACTATTGTCAGTCAGCAATCAGCGTCATCAGTTAAACTCCCTGCCTCCTATGTCTGTAAGCCTAATAGCATTGGCGAGGGCAATACATAGACTAAACAAAATTAGCCCAAGAATCCTTATGCAGAGTTATGTTGTGAATTCAATGATACCCGAGTAGGAAGAAGATGAACTAGATTAATGTGACTCGGGCGCTTGCCTGGTGTAGTCCCTATGCAAAGACTAACAGTGACAAGTTCTTTCAGCATGTTTCTCCTCTTGCCCCTCTGCACCTCCCACCCACTTGCCATTTTTT